GGAGCACCAAACTTCCTGGAGGTTTCACAGCAGCTAGACCTCACCTCTGGGTTTTCCCTTTTCCCTGTATCTAGTCACTTACTAAATCCCTTGAGGGCTTCTGTTTAATGTCTCCTCACCTTTTCATTCTCACTGCCATTGTCCTAGCCCAGGGCCCAGCCACACATTCCCCCAGGGATGGCAACTCACAGCTTGCCAGTTCATTGCTTTCTATGACCTCGCCACACCCTACCTCACAAACCACTTCCTGCTATCTCACTGTTCACTGCCAGCAAAGCAGCCTCTGTTGCTTTGCTTGTGCCATTTCCTCCCCCTGTGTATCCACTCACCCCTCCCCATCCTTGCAATCAGCAAGCAGGAATGAGTCCTACACACTTTTCTAGGTGCTGGGGGCCCTGATGATCAGGACAGTCCAACTCCGGAAACATAAAACCCCTGAAGGAGATGGAAAATAAAACACACTAAAGGGCTAAAGGCGTTCAGGAAAGGCTTCTCCAGGGAGGTGACTCTAGATCAAAGACAGGTGAACTGGGGCAAGAACTTCAAAATCCTCCCCACTGTCAGAAATTAACATCAGCTCTCTAAATATCTCCTCCACTCCTGATCCCCAGACTTATTGCCTATGCAGTTCACACATCCCTAACACATATTGCCTTAAATTGCTTTTTACCATTCATACCTAAACAAACAATAAGATCTGGGAGGGCAGGAGTTTGATACCACTTCATAAAATGCACAGGTTCCTGGAGCATTATTGCATGCAAGGGTCGCCCAGTGAAGACAAAGGAAGGGAGAAATCATTTTGTCACTACAGAGTGGCTTAAGGAGTTCCCCTGCAGCAGTACATGCAGATCTCAACTCACCCTCCCATCCCTACACAGAGCAGGTTTGCTGACTTTCACTACAGAAAAGCATTTCAGGGCAGGTCAGTGACAGGTGCAGGAAGACCTACTAAGCAGAATCAAAGATGTAAACACTCAGGAAGAAGTGTGAGCACTCAAGGGATGAGTGGGATGAGATCTTGGGCTGAGGGTATTTACGTGGTCTTAGCAGTGCTCTTACAGAGGCTGATCTAGGATGTGTTTTCCGAGTTCAATTAGGTCATCCATTAGTGAGCTGGGCTAGAATGCAAACCACTGCGTGTGTTTAAAGTTTAGAAATATGGTGCCTAACTAACAGTGCTATGTCCTTGAGGGTGGAAGTCTGTCAAATTTGTAAACCTATAGTATCAGAAGAAAAGCTCAGGCCCAGATTTCAGGAAAACAGCATAGGCCCAACATACAGTTTTATTACATCTTTGGAGACCCCAGGAATTTTGGAGTGAGTTTCCTGCAGAGGAAAAGAGAAAGCATCGTAACTTTGCATGACTTTGTGTCCTGAAGCTGCAGTTTTCCTAAAGTGCAATTTTTAAATTATGATTTTCCTTGTCTCCTTTCTACTTACCTTTATTTCATCTAACCTGCTTCAGTTTCACTACATTTCCAAAATGTGGGACCGCAAGAAAACATTTCCTCTTTGTGATTTGAGGAAGACAGTTTTGCAGCTGTCTTTTATTCCATATTGGAGATACTTCTAGCCAGAGGCGGGGAAGGCACTGAGGCCATCTCCCTATCGGATTTGAGCCCAAGAAGAGGTGATAAACCCCTTCTGACGGAGGCAGAAAAATGCCACCAACAGCTGTAAGATGAGAGGAGGCTTATTGTCAAACTATCTTGAAATCACTGAGCTGAACTTGCAGAGAAAATTCTATCCCAGAAGATGCTTTTGACTGTGGGGTGATTCCAGGATAAATCAGTAAAGAAACGCTCCCACAATGAGTAAAGCAAAAGGATCAACGAAAAGTGGGACTAAAATGTGTCTAGACTTTCTTGAATCAAGTCTTATTTTGAAGTATTCATTATTACTATTTAAAAGTGAGTAACTTTTTTTTACTTTAATGCATTTGCAGTATCTGCTTCAACAAAAGAGCATATTTTTGCCACTCAACCAGTATAGTACCTATCAACTGAGTACCAGGCAGACAGTACTATGCAGGGGTGAACAGAGGTGACAAAAAAGATATGGCTCCTGGTTCCAGGGAACTTAGCATCTGGCAGAGAAGACAGCTCATAAATAAATTACTGTTAATAATTAGATGATTATAAGTAAGCGAAGTGCTACAATGTGAGGCTACTCAAGTAGGGAGGGAAGGTTCAGAGAAAATCCCCTGAACAAGTGGCTATTCATCTGAGATAAAAATCGACTAACAGTTGGTGATAGAAGGTGTTATAGTTTGAATCTTGAATGTTTCCCAAGGTATTAAAGGCTGGACCCTCAGGGTGGTACTTCTGAGAGGTGGTAAAACCTTCAGGAGGTGGGGCCTAATGAGAGCTCCTTAGGTCATTGGGGGCATTCTCCCAAAGGGGATTGTGGGACCCCACCCTCTTCTGGTCGTTACTTCCCAGCCATGAGGTGAATGGGTTTGTCCCACCATGTGCTCACACCATGATGTCCTGCCTTGCCACAGAACCAGAACAATGGATCCAACCACTCCCAGACTGCAACTTTCATTTTTTTTTTCCTTTCTGAGTTAATTATCTCAGATACTTTGTTATAGTTAGAGAATCCTATGCTCCAGGCAGAGGACACTGCATATCAACAGACAGAGCAGGGCTCTGGAAAGAATAGCAAATCACAGGGCTGGAGTGGAAGAGGTCCAGGATAAGATGGGAGGGCAGCAAGTGGTCACCCTGGAACAGGATTTGCTAACATGGCAAGATTCTGATTTACCCTAAGGGCCACAAAATGCCACGTTTGGATCTCAGGGAAGCCCATTAACCTCTGAGAAAATAGAATCAGATAAGCCCTCTCTTTGAGAAAGGAAACTATAAGGTAAGAAATGAATCACCTTTTAAGGGAGTCAGTTTTAATTAAAGGGAAACTGAACAAAATCACTTGCATGGAAAAATACTTTTGTTTATTCAGGCATTATACTGTAAATTGTTTTTCTTAGCTGATAAGAGAAGCTGGAAGATAAAGATTATTTACTACCCGGTAGGTAAAGAATCTATTTGCTTACAAATCAGATTGAGAAAGGCCCTCAACAAAACTGAAGTAGATTCTGGCTCCACTTAAGTGACAAATTTCTCAGCTGACACTCTCTGGCAAGAGATAAGGACTGTCTTCTTGTCAAACTGTTTTGACAACCCTGTTTTTACCCATCTGAAATGTAAACCTTTAGTACTTGCATACAAACATCAAGCATTGTGAAACATGTTTTAGGTAATAAAGGGAAATCATAAAGCATAACCAGTGTAGGAGGCTGCAATCATTGGCAATTTGTAATTATTACAAACTTCAGATATAACTGAACATAAAGTGAATTAAATCTTTTTCTTTTCCTTACCTAAATCCCATTTTGACCAACAGTTGTCAAAACTCCAGCTGTTGATTTGGGAAGTTTGAGATACCAGCTGTCAGTCTTTCCTTTGAAGCTGTTAGAATAAAAATATAAGTGTGGCTCCTGCTTCACTCACTCGGGTTAACTCTGTCCTTGGCTGGCCCAGCTACTGCAGCTTCCTCCTCTCCACTGTCCCTGCTGGATTCCCTTCTCAGTTCCAGCTCCAGAGCCTGGTATTCCACACAGATGACTAAGAAGACACTACTGCTTATTGGCAAGGCATCCATATTGCAAATTCAGATCTTCACCGTGGTGAATAAGCCTCTTGAAAGTTACAACTCTAGATGGATTTGCCACCATTGGCTGGCTTTTTTCTGTATGACACTCAACACCAAGGAAGGAAGACACAGCGTAAACATGTGTAGTCAAACGGCGCACCCCACAAATCAGATGACATGTGCTGAGCCACCTTAATAAAGCATGTGCTTTGTGCGGCCCCCAGGGGCTGGGGTGAGAAGCAATGAGCCACCCACAGCCTCCCCTCCATGCATCTCTCTGCCTACCCCTCATCCCCCACAGAGACACACCCTGGTAGTACAGGTGCCAGCCACCTTTGTGACACAGTGAGGCTGCACGGCTCACATGGAAAGTGTGAACTGAACCTGTTCAACCTGGCCTCAACTGACGTCAAGCTAATGCCAACAGACTATTTGGGAATGGGGCAAACTTGGATATGTCTCTTGGTCAATCTGGTCATACTATTAAGTACAAACACCTGGATCATTTAAGATGCTACTATGCTAACAATATGTTGGTGCCTCTTGAAGGTGTTTCTGAGAATGGAATGGTGGCAGGACAAATCCAGAGCTATCAGGAGGTACAGGTCATGGAGACAACAAAGACTCCTCGTACTGCAGCTAGGAGGATGAAGTCAAAGAAAGTGGTCTGCAGGTTTTTTCTGCATGCGCAGTCCATTCAGACCTTGTACCCAAAGATGTACCCATAAAACATGAACCAAAACCGCACCTAATGTCTGTAGATTTCACTAGCTCAGATTCCATAGTGTTGCCTTTGTCATTCTAACCGGCCACTGTGTGTGGCAGCTGCTCCTCTCACTGTCCCAGTTAGCAGCCTGGCATTCATAAACAGCTGCTGTGTTTAAATGTTCTTCCCTGCACAGTGCAGGGCCTGTACAGCCTCCCAAAAATATGTCCTCCTGCGAAAGTGGCGCATGCCATGGCAGCAGATGTTTGCCGATGGTGTTCCTGACAATTTGCTGTGCCAGGATCTGAGATTCTGACTCCTCTCAGAGGCAGTCAGAACGGGGTCAAGGACATGGGGCAGCACCACCATCACACAGATGCTAGGTGCTTGGCTGAGCACCCTGCCCTGGGAGGCATTCAGTCAGTGTTAGCTATGAACAGGGTTAATAATCAGCTGATTTGCACCAAAGCAAACACAGTAGCTGTCAAAATGCAGAGTGGTTCCCACACAGAGTGGTAAATAGTCACTCCCTAGAGCCCCCGTCTACCCAGTGTCCATATCACCATTCCCATCACCATCTCGTAGTGGGACAATGGCTTCCTCCTTGGGACCCCTAGAACCTCCTCCCAGGTGAGCATCCGTTCTGACTGGTTGGTGTCACAGGTAGCAGTCATTAAATTCAGGATCACGCCCATCATCATTGTCATCGTCATCACTTAGGGACTCACCTTCTCACAAACATTTAGACCCTGAAACTCTACCCCTCTCTCCATTCTCTCCCTACCCCTCTCATTCCTCTTTCCCCTTCTCCACAGTAGGTTTCCACCCTTTGCCCATCCTTTGAAGGGCTATCTTTTCTGTCTCAACACAGTCCCTGAGTATCTCACTCATGGCTGTGACTGCATTTACACTATACAAGGACTTACCACCTTGGCTAGGCTAGAACTGGTTTCCTAGAGTTACTTTCCCTACAGAGTCCTAGGCTAGCATGAGCCACATGAGACTAGGAAGGCAGCAGTGAAGCAAGAATGCTTTGGGTTTTACTCTCAGAAAGCCACTGAGGGCCAGCAGGTGCTGTTGTGGAACATCCACTGGTCCACCTTGTGGGCTGAGGCAGCAACCAGGCGGGTGGCTCCTCCAGCTCCTGATAGTTTTCTCATCAGCGTCTTTTGCTCCTGGGCCAGGTGCACATTAGCTCTGTGACGGGGGAAGCCAGGGTCTCCTACAATGAAATCTCAAAGGTGATAAGAAATCAATGCAAGTTCTACACCAGCCTCATGGGTCCTGCCTCACCCTCACAGGTTCTCTTTAGTTTCTTTATATCATGGCCTTCTTCCTGTCCAGATTGCCTGCCCTGGAGACATAAAAGTAACTGCTGTACATATGAGTGACCCTGCTCTCATGTTGTATAAGTCAAATCCCTGTAATGTATCCATATCCATCAGCAAGTAGATAGATGATAGATAGATAGATAGATAGATAGATAGATAGATAGATAGATAGATAGACAGATGTAGTTTGGATCTTAAGCATCCCCCAAAAGCCAATGTGCTAAAGGTTAAAGCTTGGAACTATTAGGAGGTGGTAAACACCAGGAGGTGGGGCCTCCCTGGAGTTGTGCCCTCAGAGTATGACAAGACCCTAGTCCCTTCCTCTCCTGTCTCTTCACTCTCCGGCTGCACGATGCACAGTTTTGCCCTCCCACATACTCCCACCATGATTTGCCACCACAAGCACAAAGTAACAGGGCCATCTGATCATGGGCTGAAAGCTGCAAACTGTGAGTCAAAATAAACCTTTTTTTCTTTAAAAATGTATGGTTTCAGATATTTGTCATAGTAACAGAAAGCTGACTAACATAGCTGACTAACAGAAAGCTGACTAACATCTATGTTAGTGAAAAGAGTGATCAACTGATAGATCTCCTAATGGCTCTGCTCCTCTGATTGAACTCTTGCTTTCACAAACCACCACCCAATCCCCTAAGCCATACATCTAGTATCAGCTCAGTTTCCCTGTCTCTGTCACTCCCAACATCTAATCACCCACCCAATGTGCAAGTCTACCTTCCAATCTGTTTCATTCTCCAAGTGCTTGGATCTTTTTGTTTTGTTCTGCCTTATGTTGGGATCTGACAATTGCACAGCACTTGTTTTATAAATAGCAACTGGAAATTCACCGTAGAAAAAAGCAAAAGGAATCCATGAATGATTGATACTTAAAGGTTCAGCAAAGATCTATGCATAACCTAGTTCCTCTCAGCTTTCCATTACATGCTCGCCCCTCAGTGCAAACACAAAGCAACCAGACCTGCTCCTTCAGAAGGGTGTGGCCACGGGTAAGGTGTCCATTCCTGCAGCTCACCGCACCAACTGGGGCCTTGGCAGCACCTTAATTATTAAAAACACCTTTCATGGACTGTGTCTGTATTTATTTACCACAAAGTGACAAGAGTTGCTAGGCAAATTCATAAGGCAAACAGGAAAAATGTTAGCCTACTTAAGAGCAAGGAGCTTAAGTACTGGCCTTTGCATTCACATAAAAAATTGGCTCATTACACACTTTTTCTCCTTTTAATAAACCCTGGATCTCTAACAACCCTCTCCCCCTTCTCTCTTAGCATTTTCCTGTGGGTGCTTGATTATAATGAACTGGCATTTCCTCACCAAGGTTGTTTTTTCAGCCTGTCATTCATCATCCATTAATTCATAAAGAATGTATTAAGTGTCTGTTGTTTGCCAGGTGCTGGGAATGTGATAGCTTGTTAGTATAAGATTTCTGTTTGTAGAGTTTCTATTCTAATGGGAGGAAATCATTTATCAAGAATTAATCCAATAAATAACAATTTCACTTAGTGATAGGTACACACACACACACACACACACACACACACACATGCACGTGTGCAAGTAAGGGCCAGTAATGAATATGAAAGGGAGGTCATAGAAGGTAATAGAAAGGAACCATCCATGCGACTACCTGAACAAGAGCTTCCCAGGCAGAAGGAATAGCAAGGTTTTACCCAAAGGGGAGCAGGACACTGCCATACATTCATGCCATGATAAAAAAAGATCAATATTTCCTCTTTTAGTTTCAGGAGCCCTCCAAGCTATTTTCTTCCTAAAGATCTTTGTACATTGTTTTCCTTTGCTTAAGCCCCTCTTGTCCCTGCTCTTCCCTGAATGATTCCTCATTTTTTACGTCTCAATTCTAAACCTCACTTGTTCAGAGAAGCTTCCCTGACTACTCTTCCTAGGTAGTCTTCCTTGGTATTTTTTGTCTCCACTATCACCTGCTTTACCTTCTGTTATAGTTGATACATTGTGTCAACTTGGCAAGTCTAGCCTCTGGCTAAGTGACTCAGCAGTTCCACATCCTGGGGTGAGAAGGACAGCCCTGGCTCTGGAATGTTGTTCATTGTGTCATTGTGAGAAGATCAGAAGGTAACTAAGTGACTGGGCAGGGGGCGGGGTCATTACTTTGTATCATCCTGAGCCTGTGCAGGAGGAGGGCATGGAGATGATGTGAGTGCTACACACCCCCTGGGAGGGGAGCAGCCTGCTTACAATATGAGGGAGGGAAAGAGGCTTGCCCCCCTTTTTTCCCTCTTGCTGCTTTTGCTGTCTCGTGCAGCTTTGAAGTGTTGCCCCTGTGCCCTGACTCTCTCTGTCTTGGAGCCAGCTGATTATGGACTGAAATCCCCACAAACTGTGAGCTAAATAAACCTTTCCTTCCTTAATGTGGGGCATTGGGTATTTTGTCTCAGCAACAAGAGAAAAGTAACCAAGACACCTTCACGAAGTACACTTGCTTGCATGTGTAATAAGATTGCACATGGAAAGTCCTCAAAACAATTGCAGAGTGCATGCACAACCTAATGAATGGACCAGAATCATCACTCACAGAGCACCCAAACCAGCAAGGCTGAGAATAGGAAAAGGGTGGAAGAGGAGTATGAAAGAAAGAAAGAAAGAAAGAAAGAAAGAAAGAAAGAAAGAAAGAAAGAAAGAAAGAAAGAAAGGAAGGTACTGATAAAAGCCAGGGTTTGAGGAAGAAAAAGCAAAGGAGGAAGGGAAATCTGCCAAGGGAGGCCAAGCAGAGGGACTGGGCCAGGGGAAAGTGGCAGAGAACAGGCCAGCAGGACAGTGGGCAGCATGGACAGAGAAGCCTAATCCCAAAGCTGCAGCTGCACTGCAGGCCGCACGCCCACAAAGGCTCCCGCCCTCTTCAGAGGGACAGAGCTGCGCATGACCCCAGATGCAAGGCCCAAAGGTCACCTGCTACTTACTACGGGATCCTCTTCTGCCTGGACACTTTTAACTCCACCCAGGGTGTCCACTCCCAGCCCCAGTTAACAGATCCCCCAGCATCAACCCTCACTCAGTGGGTCTTTTCTTCTGCATCTATTCACAGCAATCATTGCCCCTTAACCACTCTTGGTAGAACAGTAGGCAAACCATCTACCCTCTAGAGCTGTGACAAGTTCCAGTGTGTCAAGTTCCCTTTGGCCGTGTGTTGCCACTACAGCACTCTTAGCACCAGATGTGGCCAAAGCCCCAGACAGTGGGACAACAGCAACATCTGGAATCGTGAGAACATGACCTTCTCAAGGCCTTCAATCCAACAAACCCACCAGCTGGGCAAAGGCCTGGGATGGCTCCGAGCCCCACCTGCTTTAACAGGAGACACCTTCAGCAGATGCTCTTCTGTCTTATTGTGTGGCAAACGAATGTGAGGTGGGAGGAGAGGAAAACAGAACCCGGCAAAGGTCACCCGAGCCTGTCTGAGTGGCCCCAACAGATGGAGCCATACATAACAAGGTAGCACGGGTTCCAATCTCAAGGCCAGCTGCTGAGGCGTGACTTCTTTCTCATGGAAAAACAAGAAATTCTCCTTGAAATGAGAAACACAAGACTGACAAACGTGCCCATGGAGAACCTGAGGATTGACTGCCCCCACTGGGCTCTTCCAGGGAACCAGGAGTTTCAGTTCAAAGTGCCACCGCAGGTAGAGGTTGACGCCTTGTCACCTGTCCAGGCTGGGAAAAAGCAGGCCCTGAGTATTCCGTGCGCACCTTCCAAAGGCACAGGGCGCCCGTATTGCTGATTGATGTCACTTTGGACAGCTTTCTCTTCAGAGCTATTATTCCCCCAACTTTCTTTTGCCAGAAAAATAATGAGTCCTCAGCCCCTCTCTTTCCCTGGGACTTTTTTTAAAATGTATCCATAAAAGTGTATCTTTAGGAAGGAGTTGCTCAGTTTTCAACATGTGGATAATTGATTTGTTACAACTCACAAAAGAGCATTTGTCATCTGGAAACAACCCAGACCCACGTGCTTCCTCCTCCTGAGATGCGCGCGAAGGCACTTGACTTATTGCTGCCATTAAACTGAAGTGTTCGGCTGATTATTTGGTATTTCAGAATTCCTTATAAATCACCGCCTTATTTTGGTGATTACAATTTTAAGAAGAGATGCTTGATTTATAGGCAACATCAGGGAGGAGGCAGAGGAAGGAGGAGGAGCAGGCAGGAGGCAGCAGAGGCTAGAGGCTCAATAGAGACACAATGGAAACAATTTCTGATACACTGTCCCCTTCTCAACAAATTGCAGCTAGAGAATGTGCCCACACCTGGGGGATTTTCATTACTGGAGGTTTGGCAGATAAATATAAGCAGGGGAAGGAGGTCTGGAGCTCTGTGCAGATTGGGATGTGCCATTCTGCTTCCCCTTCTGGTCTCCTCCCAGCTGGGGGTAGAAGAGAGCTGAGCTCTACAGTGAAATTCACTCTATCATCATGCACAGGCAAGCTATGAGACCTGGGTCTGTGCTCCCGAAGAAAGCAAGCAGAGGGCCGGCTCCAGCTGGACACAGCTGGATTCTGAGATGCAACAGAGCAGAAAATGACTTCTGAGGCCCCAGCGAGTCCATCAATCAGCTACATTTATTGATAGCCCAAGGAAGGCACACCCATGAAGGCAGGCACTGTGGAGGGATCCAGGAATCATCGGATGCAATGCCAGGCCTGGAAACTTACAGACTAACAGGGACTCGCAAGCAGCGTGCAGATCACCTCCATCAGACTAAAAAGTCTTATGAAATGAATCATGAGGGTAGTTAGAGCTAAGTGGCATCTGCTCCATCAGGTTGCTCCCAGCTGCAAGTTGGCATCTGAAACATAGACTTCTCCTGGCCTCAAAAAGGAAAAGGGATACGTTGGTGGTCAGACCCCACCTGGTAGGATATGTTCAGTGTTTAAACTGGAGCATGGACAAACGCTCAGGTGGGAGGATGGCGAAGCAGTCAAAGATAGTCCTATGGGGAATACGTAAGGAAAACAAGGCATTCCATCTGGAGAAGAGAAGGCACAGGAGAGCTCACACACATCTGAAAGGTCATCATGGTGAGAAGGAAGCAATTTTATTTTGTAATTGCTCCAGAGAGGAGAATGAGATTGCTGGTGGAAAGCTGCGGAGAAGCAGGTTTCAGTTCAACATAATTCAGCAATCAGGGCTCTGGGCTTAGAGGAATGGTTCGTGGTGAGTCCCCTGCTGTGGAAAGTGTTAAAAGACAGCCAGGGTGGCCATGCCGGAGCCACTGTGCAGTCAACCTCTGCATTTGGTGAAAAGTGAAACCAGGTATGATTTAAGCTTCCCTGACACTGTCAGATTATGTGGTTCTGTGACTAAAATTCACACTGAAGTATGAATAGTTGATGAGCCCTCTCCAGAAAGTACATTGTATTAAAATCTAAGAATTTATAAAAAGTGATGGATATGTTACTAGATCCATATATGCCCTTAAAAGAAGAAATGGGCTTGAAATGAGTAATGACCAGGGTTTCCATTTCTGCACTGAACTTGGTGTCCTAAATTGAAGAGGAAATGACATAAAACTTTAAAGCAGATATGTTATCATCAGTACGTGAGTTTAGGTTCCGGCTGTGACACTTACTAGTATTGTGGCCTTGGAAAAGTTAAACGTTTGTGAGAGCCACTTTTCTCATTGATCAGGTAAGGATCCTAACAGTGCCAGTCTTACAGGAATCAGCAAGGAGTGAATGCGATAATTTATGTAAAGAACTTAGCATAACACAGTACATACTTGACATAGAACAAATACTCAATCATGGTAAGTTATTGTATTTTCTTAATTCCAGAAGGCACAGTTTTCTTCATTTAATGTTTCTAAACATTATAATAGATGTTCACAATGAATATATTGCTCCTCTGCCTCCAGCAAAGAGAGAGACTTTCTCCAGCAGAGAGAGAGAGACAGATAGAGACAGAGACAGGGACAGAGACAGGCTGATTTGCAAATGTGTGGTACACCTCACAAATGACAGCACCTTGCCAAGTCCATGCCCTTCTCTGGGCAGCCTCTCATGATTACCAGGTTGAACTCCTATTGGGAGAATAAAAAGTGAATTCTACCACCCTTGTTGCTTCTACATCCTGTGCAAAGAATTCTGTCTAGAATTTAGCAAAAAAAAATACAAGCTACCACTTACCTCAGCCTTTCTGCATGCCTGGCGGCAGCTCTGCACTAAATACTTGCACAAACCCACCTCATCTCACCCTCTTATCCACCATGGAAGTCAGCATTATTATGCCCATGGACCCTGAGTGTTAGGAAGCTTGCTCCAAACACATAACTAGCAAAAGGCATGGCTAGCTTATGAACCAATATCTATTTGACATTTTTACCCATGCTATTTCCCAGGATGTTACAAGAAAGGTGGGAATTATAGATCTCCTTAACTTCCAAGTTATTTGCTCCCAGGCTAAAGCCTCACAACTTATAACATACAGTGGTTCCCTGTGGTGCAGGAAAGAGGCATGTAGGACATACAGACTCCCACTTTCCATCCCAGGTAGACCTTCACACGCTTCCCAGAGGTCCTGGCACATGTATGCATGCACTCACACCATACACACATGCACGCGCATATAGCCATGCAGACACACAGAAAGGCCTGGGGTAAGAAGGGGACTCACTGGAGCAAGGCTCTTAGCTGTTCCCTGACAACCTCCCAGGACAAGCTTCCTTACTGTAGCAAATTTCCCAGCCCAGAGGCTGGGCCTTGGTCTCAGGAGGAGGCTCTGAGAGGCTACCCCACACTGCACTCACCGAGAATGGGCATCTAAGCCATGATCAGCATATCAATTTGCAGTGAAGGTTCCAAGTGCCAAGGCTCCTGGAGGTGTGAATCCCGCCAGGCGCTGTGTCCCTGAAGGTGGCGTCCTGCAAAGCCAAATTGTCAGCTAGCAGCTTGGCCAGCACAGAGCCAGTGCAGGATAGCTGGGAAAGACTGGGTGCCTCGGACCAGAGTGGCCTGATGAGGGCAACCTGCCGGAGAAGCAGACAGGGGTCAGGTGCACCCCCTCGCCCCTCCCCTGCACAAAGCCTGACGTCTTTGCCCCTGCAGCTCCTGCAGGAGGACTCCTAGGGCTGACCAGCCCTCTGCCTGATAGTTCCCACTTCTTCCCAGAGGTCACAGCCTCTGCATCTTGCTGCCTTTCCCAAGTGGCTTTGCTAATGTCTGCCTTTTCCTATCTGACTCACCTTGCACTTGGAGACTCTAAGAGAGCATTCTATTTCCCTTATCTCCTGATGGGTGGAGCCCTGATACCACCCTCATTTGGAAGAGCAGGAGCAGAGTCATCACAAATCAGAATCTACAGGGCAAAAGAGAAGTGTTAATATAGTTCTAGGTGCCACTTACCCTACTGGGTGGACCCCAAATGCAAGATCTCCCACCTCCTTCCACTCAAGAGGATCTCAGAAATTTCAGGCCCGCCATCAACCTGGAAGCCATTACTTTTACCTGAGAAGGCACATGTAAAGAATAAGCTCCGAGGACCAGCCCAGCCACAGACCTTTGCACCCAGACTCCTCGAGGTTCTCATTCATCCTCGCTTCATTGCTGCCTTCCTTGCCTTCTCTGCTATGTATCCCAACTCCTTGCAGGCCTGAGCCCAACCTCAAGTCCCCACAGGTCAAACTCCTACAGCCGCAACCACACACACACAGAACATTCTGCTTCCTGGGTCTGCCCAGGACTTCCAGGTACTGCCTAGGATCCCTTTGAGAACAGAAAGTGCATCTGGTCAATGACAAATGTTGACAATAACAGTAGAATTTCCACACCAAGGATATGCCCTGCTAAATGCTTTACATGCATCAGAACATGGCTTAATCCTCCAAAGCGTGTAAGTAACAGAGGCTATCCTTCATAGATGAGGAAACAGGAGAGTAGACCCCCTCACCATCATGCGGGTAACATAGGGCAGGCCCAGCCTCTCACACAGCTGTCTTCTTCAGGGCCCACGATTCCAGGCACTGCTCCACCAGACCACACCTCCAGGAACACAGCCTGGTGTGTGCCACAGTGGGAAGAGAGAGGAGGGAGCTTTATCCTTTTTTTAATTCACTCACAAGGACAAGAAGAGAAACAAACATAGTTCAGAAGAAAGGAGTAATGCAGGGTGCTATTTAGATGGGATGATCAGAGTTTAACTCAGTCAGCATCACTTTACTTTAACACGGGCTATCAAACTCTTCTTAGTTTGGTATATATTGCTATGCAAGAGCAGCTTTAGCCTTGGTTCAGCTAAGCTATCACTCCTTAAAGTCTTCAACATGAAAATTCTTGCTGCCACCTGGGTCTGCTTCCTCCATCTTTATCCTGGGAGGGCCCAACAAGTTCGTCTCTTGGTCCCAACATCCATGCTACCTACAGTCACTGTCTGTGGCCAGGACTGTTTTTGCCAAGCTGTGCCTTTGCCCTGGCCAACTGGTTCCCTCCCAGAGCTCCCTAGCTCCCGAATACACAAGCTGGGGCATTCCACATCCAGGCTTCCTCTTGCTCCGCACCCCATTATGCATGCAAAACCCTCATTTCTTCCCATGGCTCATTGGCATGGAATCCAAAAAGACAACTGCAATGAGAAATTTTTTTTTTAAAAGCTTTGGTTTTAAGATTCCCTGGCGTAATTCAAAGGAATATTTGCTAAGTGTAGTGGGGTGATCTTTTGTCAAAAGAGCATCATTAGAAGTTTGCGCATCATTAGAATTTTTCATATCATTTAAGTTTCTGCAATGCTTTAAACCTGTGGACTTCTTTAAATAATAATAATACATTCTGAAAACATGCAGAACATGTTTAAGCAAATGCCTGGGAAGGTGTTCACGATGTCTTTGGGTGCATCCTCCTCTTCCAACGTGAATAGGAACTATCATCATGGTTTTCTAACAGAATAAGAGGAATTGACTGGAAAACCCTGCCCAAGGGATTGCAGTGTGCACAGGAGGGGGGTGAGGAGAAGTGTAAGACAAAGGGTTGTCAGCTCTGCTCAACAATAGATTTTGAGGTGCTGTGCCAGACATTTATGATATAGAGACTAAAAGAAAGACCTAGTCCCTGGCCTCAGGCAGTTCTCAGGCCAGCATGGGTGACAGACAAGTGGGCTAGCAGCTACTACATGAAAAAAGCACAGGACTCTTGACATACATGAGCAGCAACTCTAGAGTTCTCCTTGGAAAATCACTGAAGCACCCTGTGCCTTCCTTTCCTCACACAGGAAATGAGGATTATAACAGTGAGCTAAGGTGTACAAAAAGGCCAAGAAGAGCATCTTGTACATGCTGACTGCACTGGCGTTGCTGTCGTTACTAGACAGGACACCCAGTCAGTACCCATCCTCTTACCTACCACCTCCAAAGGCAAGGCTGGGGGAGGCATGGGGAGCTGCGTCATCAAAGTTCAAGGAATTGGCCAAGAGGAAAGGTGGGAAGAATAAGGCATAGCATGGGCAAAGCAGGGGCAGTAGATGGAGTGTTAGATACATGTGCATATATTGAATGATATGTTGTACACTTTTACTTATAGTAAATAGTATGTCATATACATTTACATATATTAAATGCCTTGTAATATGCATGTGTATTAAATCAGATGTTGCATATATGTACTTATAGTAAATTGTACACTGCATACAGGTATATGCTTTGAAGGTCATGTTATATACACTGATGTACACTAAATGGCATGTTATATACATGTATATACATTTAATGACATCACATGTGTGTATGTGTATTAAATGTTATGTTGTGTATACTATAGAATGGTATGTGTGTACTGCATTGATGACGTGTTATATACATGTACATGCATTAAATGGGCATGTTGTCCACATGTATATACATTAAATTCCATGTTATGTACATAAATACATATATATATTGAATGGTATATTTTATGTCACTGGAGTGATGGGTAGTAAGTGGGTGTAGCAGAAAATGCAGAAAGGCACAAATGTTCACCCCATAGGAAATCTCTTTTGGTTATGCTAAGGAGTTTGAGTGCTTTGAGTGTTGGAAACTGTTGAAGGATTTTAGACAAAGAAGCAACATAATCAGATTTGCAGCCTAGGAAAGAGCTTTGCATGGGGAAAGGCTGGAAGTAGGCTGTCAGCTTCAGCCAGTAGAAAACTGGTGCAATCTTCCTCTTAAGAAATGATGAGGATATAAAGTTGGACAGATCAAGAGAGAGACTCAAAAGATATTTAGGGCTTCCAGTTCAAGATGGTGGGTTGAATGTAAGCAATTTATCTCTACACCCTCCTGAAACATCATAAAACAACTGTAAATTATTTAAATTATATATATAATTTAAAGGACAAAGGTAAAAGATTTAAAAAGTTAGACAACAATTAACTTGGAACCCTGGCAACAGATAACCACTTGGTAATTGACAAGCAAGCCCAAGGACACTGGATTCCAGCCAGAAAGTGAGCGAAGCCTAAAGCCACATAATCTGCAGCTCAGAAGGCTCCTACACCAAGGCTGAGGTACAGAAGGGAAGCACGGAATAGGCACAGTTTCTGAAACCAAGACCCAGATGCCCCTCCTCACTAGAACAGCATCGCTAGCCTCTAGGATGGCACTGCTCATAGAAATGCAGTGCAAGCCCCGTACATAATTTTAAGTTTTCTAGTATCCATGCTTTAAAAAGACAGGTAAAATTAACCTTGCTTTAAGTTTCTTTGATTGCCACATAACAATTGTACACATTGATGATGATGCCTTGATATGTACACATTGCATGATAATAAAATCAGGATAAATAGAATATATATCACTTCAAGCATTTATCATTTCTTTGAACATTCAAAATCCCCTCTTCTAGGTATTTTGAGGCATAGAATGTGTCATTGTTAACTGCAGTCACCCTGGTGTGCAATAGACCCCCAGAACCTATTCCTCCTATCTCGTGGGATGCAGTGACCTTTGACCTGCCTCTTCCCACTCACATCACCCCACTACCCTCCTCAGACTCCAGTAACTGCCACTGTATTCTCTACTTCTATGAGATCAGCTTCTTTAGATTCCCACATATAAGGAAGATTAACTTTAATACTATAGTTTATCTAACCCAATCTGTATAAAATATTATGATATCAACATATAATCAATATACTAATATTGATTAGATTCTTCACTTTCTTTTCAAACTGTAGTATGTATTTACACTCACAGTATGGCTCAACTTGGTTGCACATGTTCAGGGGAAATGTTTATCTGTTAGATGTCATAAGGTCTACAACTGAAGAAGTAGATCCACATACTTGTCATCCAAGATTTATACAGTTCCCAATACTGAGAGAATATGCAATTTGAAAAAATAAATTAATTAAAATGAAAATTTTAAATTTAGTTTCTCAGTGAGACTAGCCACATTGTAAGTGCTTAATACCCCCACATGACTAGTGGCTATTATACGGGACAGCACAAGTCCAGGATATCTAGACTAAGGGATACTAATTACAGTTGAAACACTGGAGCTAACAAAACAGGAAAAATGAAAGTTGAAACCTGCCCCACAGTCTTCTTCCCCAGAAGAATTCCAGTGATTACTGCCAAACCAGGCTCATACCCTCCAGCCAGGAGACTGGAAATTCTTCTCCAGAAAATGTGACCAATCTCAGAGAAAGGCCCAAATCTATGGCACAAAGAGATCCAACTGAACAGCTGGTAAAATTAGCCTACACTGAGATCCAGAGGTGTGGAGTCCTCTCCATGAGGAATGCCTCTAGCCTGTAGACAAACTATCATAGTCAGCTTTCTGCTACTGTAAAAAAAAAAAAATACTTGAGACAATCAACTTAAAAAGAGGAAAAGTTTATTTGGGCTCACAGTTGTGGAGGTTTCTGTCTGTGACTGACAGCCCCATTGCTTTGGATCTGTAGCAGCACAACACAGCAGGAGCACATAGTGCAACAAAACTGTTTGCCTCATGGGTAGGGTGCAAAAGCAAGAGAGAAAGAAGAGCTTGGGTTCCACTCTCCCCTTCAAGGGCACCCCTCCAATGACCAGGAGACCTTCCATTAGGCCTTTCCTCTTAAAGTTCCTACCTCCTCCTAATAGTCCTACCTGGGGACCAAGATGTTAACACATGGGCCTGTGGGAATATATAAGATCCAACTATGGCACAGACTAACACAGACGAGCAAAAGAGACCTGAAAACAGAGTTAATACAGGCAAAAGAAAACATTCAAAAATCCATTGATAATCACCCCCAGAGATGCACTGAAGATTTTGAATTCATTAGAGGAGAGCAGAATGCTATTTTAAAAAGTAACATTCAGAAAACAAACGACAACAATAACAAAA